CAAGGTCACGTTTTGACAACGCACAGGTGAAAGTGATTTAAAATGAGACTTTTTATACGTACTGCCGAACTGATACTAAGATTTTGTCTCGTTTATATATCTTCTTGATTTGAAATGAATTTTTGAAGAATGCATGTAAAAATCAAGCGTTTAAATGAAAAATACGGGTACTGCTTCTGTACGGGAACTGCTCGCATGCCAGTACATGTATAGAATGACGTGAACATCGAATCGATGATGTCATTTGCAATATAAATTATGACGTCACTTCATTTAGTTGGTACTAAAACTATTCGCTATCTAATTTATTCGTAATTGAAATCGAAATTATAAATAAATATCACATCTTGATTCAAGACTTGTAAGGGTATTAGATTACATTGTAGAATTCACATGCTGGTGAAAATGAGAATATAACCAATTGAAAAAAGTCCGTTAAAATGGGCGGGGCTTATTTTTGATATCAGGTTACTGACCTGATATCAAAAATAATTATCAGGCAAGTGTTATCGGGCAGTTACCATAGCAGTTGCATGATAAATATGCATGAGGGCTAATTGTATCTTAACTGAAAAGTATAACAAAAATTACCGGATCTTAATTTTTTTATTTCATTTTATGTATACTTTATAAAATGCGTGAAGATACAAAGCGTAAAATTGAAATTGGGTTTTTCGTCGCACCAACACTGAAGAGGTCAATTGGTATCTTTCCACCTTAACTGGTGTCCCTCCATGTATCACGTGCACCTAAGTAGAAGCTCCAACATTTCATAAGGTAATTGGATAGCTTCTACACACGAAGCTATCAAATGTCCCTAGCGGGATTCGGAACCAAAGTGATGAGGGGTACGTGGTTTGAAGATAACGACCTAAACTTTCTTTGGTTACTGATAGTACTATCATATAACAAATTCTGTTCATTAAGTGGACATGCATATAACAACTCAGAGGATTGAGGAGACCACCGTGTAACAAATTGCCTTCATTGAGAGGACAACCGTCTAACAAACCCTGAGCATTGATTAGACATACCTATATTATATTAGAAATACCTATATTAATATAACTCTATTCATAAACGTCGAGCATTGAGCCGTCAACCAAATAAAAAAACTCTGCTCATTAGGTAGACAACCGTGAACAAATTTAATTCATTGAGTTGACAACCATAAAGCAAATTCTGATCATTGAGGTACCAATTTTGTCCATTGAGGTGACAATCATATAACGAATTCTGTTAACTGAGTTGACAACCATATAACAAATTCTGTTCATTGAGTTGACAACCATATAGCAAATTCTGTTAACTGAGTTGACAACCATATAACAAATTCGGTTCACTGAGTTGACAACCATAAAACATATTCTGTTCACTGAATTGACAACCATATAACAAAGTCTGTTCATTGAGTTGACAACCATATAGCAAATCTGTTAACTGAGTTGACAACCATATAACAAATTCTGTTCATTGAGTTGACAACCATATAAAAAATTCTTTTCATTAAGTTGACAACCATATATATATATAACAAATTATGTTCATTATGACGACAACCATATAGCAAATTCTGTTCATTGAGTTGACAACCATATAGCAAATTCTGTTCATTGAGTTGACAACCATATAGCAAATTCTGTTCATTGAGTCGACAACCATATAGAAAACTATGTTCATCGAGTTGACAACCATATAAAAATTGTTCATTGAGTTGACAACCATATAACAAATTCTGTTCATTGAGGTGACAACCATATTACAAAATCTGACAACCATATAGCAAATTTTGTTCACTGAGTTGACAACCATATAACAATGTTACAAAATTTTGTTCATTGAGATGACAACCATATAGCAAATTCTGTTCATTGATTTGACAACCATATCAACAAACTCCGGTAATTGAGTTGACAACTGTTTATGGAGCAGACAAGATGGTTAAATGTAAAGAAAGTTATAAGCGACAAATCATTAATTAATTTGACTTCTTACTTTTATTTGGTTTATCATTAGAGAGATTTAAAGATTTGTTTATTTCTTATTCTATAAGTCACTGAACACTGAACAAAAATAAAATATAAATTAATTACTGTCAGATCAGTATTTACTGAATGCAATAGGAAATAGGATAAGAGACCATTTCTTTTGTTATTTTCTTTTGTTTAATAGAGGGTCATGTGCCCCTTATTCTACTATTATGGAATATACTTATTCGGTTGTGCGTACAGACACCGGACGAAAAGCGATCACTATAGCTCTGTAGGAGCACATTTGTCTCAGAACACATTTGCCTTACTAGGTGTGACCGATGTGTTCGAAAATATTCATATTTGCGACAAATTGGAAATGAAACGGATGTGTTCGACACACAATAGAAAGGACACTCGAAGCACATTTGTCTCACATTCTTCCATAAAATTCTACTTAAAAAACTGTTCTGCTTAGTACATTGTAATTGTACGTGCGCACGCGATAACAATTATGTGCGCACGCGGATAGGTATTCCGCAGTTGGACACTTAACGGGCTTCCTCGCATGTATAGTTCGACGCCCCGAGTAAGTGTCGAACCTACAGCGGTTAGGGACAAGTGAGGCCCCTAAATGAACTAAGGAAGAAAATGTGAAGACCATCCACGTATTGTGTGTTCATCAGAATGTATATATAAAAATATCGCCGAGAATCCGAGAATTGCTGCTTTCAGACCCGCCATTGAAAAAGCACTAACAACATGCATGAGTTCCTTAATGAATCCGGGTAATGCCAAAATTATGATATCGGGCCTCGCAGAATCAGACGAGACGCGACATTCAGACGAGACACGAAGCGAGACACGAAATTATAACACGAGATCTCGCAATGTCAAAGTATCCCGTACCACAGGATTTCACAGTAGAATACCGTGCCTCCATTTCATGTTTTACCGGGATTTCGCTTTTCGTGTATCTCGTTTAAAGACGTCTAAATTTAAGCTGTTTTCTGTTTAAATTCCATCATGGATATGTTTTTGACATTTTGGTAGAAAAAATGCGGGCAAAGGTTGTATTTGATAAAGTGAATTTCAATTTTAGAATGGGTGGTTCTTCCACATCACAGCAGTGTGATTTTAAAGTGATTTTACATCAGCAAATGTGACGCTAGCAACTTTTCTTATATGATAGATGACACATATTTTTCTCATCATTTTATATCAGTTTATCATAACTCTTTAAAAAAGATAAGGATTTGATCGCTAAAATTGGACTAGCTATGTTTTTAGCACTTTTTATATAGAAAATAATGGGAATACTATTTAGCGGTATATGGCCTCAAAGGATTTTCTTGTCTCGCGTCGACGTACCGGATGCGAAGCGAGACGCGAGATTCCGGCGAGATGCAATGGCAGATTTGTGAAATCACGATGATGCGTTAACACAATGGTGAAAATAATATCACGTTTTCATTATCATGCCATCGCAGTTTCATTAACGATACATTGTATTTCCACCATCGTAACATTGTGTTTTCACCATCGTAACATAACGTTTTCATCATTGTGTCTTCGTTGTTTCACCATCGTACCATCGTTGTTTCACGTTCATACCATCGTGTTTTTACAATCGTACCATTGCGCCATCGCGCTTTCACCATTGTACCATCGGGTACGTGAACGGGATTCCGCTTGTTTCATTGTACGCCTTCAGGTTTAGTCAATCAAATTTCTTGAATTAGAGATATTAGAATAAATAGTTCCACTGTAGTTTTTAGGTTAAAGATTTTATTTAAAAAAGCATTAGCAAACCTATTGATTATAACACAAAACGGCAAACCTTTAAAAAAATCTGCCTTGTGATAATATTATACAAATAATTCAAAAAAAATGACATGAGACAAATGTGCTTTTTGTCCCTTAAAAAGCACGAGACAAATGTGCTTTGTCCTACAAAGCAAACTCAATTGAACTGCAAGCCAGATACGTTTTTTTTAAATGGGCCACTGTATCGATTACAAGGCGAAATAAAACATAGAATATATTTTAAATATATACATCCCGTGTCATAAAAAGGCAATAGAGATGGAAGGAGTAGAATCTTTAACGCTAATTACAGTTTATTTTATCAGTGTATTTGTATATAGATTACTCGACATGCAATGTATATAAAGTGCAATTATAAAACTATCACGTGGCCTCTTTGATTTTCTCACTGTGTAACATGCCGGTTGCATAATCTCTTAATTTTCGTTTCACCGCTTGCATAATTTCTTAATCCAATATAATACATTGCTTATTACTTGTCCAACAAGAATTCTTAATCTGCTACACTGTATAGCATTGCAATATGTGATAATCAAGACTAGGTATTTATGATGTAACATATGTATTAAATATTAATCACTTTCATCATCAAAATATATTATTTTTCAATTAAGGAAACAGCTTATAATTGTATAATTCTCATATATTTTATTTAGATTCGATGCACAAGACGAATAAAGAGCTTAAACCTCCGTCAGCTTACAATCCAGAATATAATTACACCCTTATCCAGGTACTTATCTGTCTGATATATATATCACTTGTGCTGTTACCTGTTAAGCAATTCACTGATAATTGCAATTTAAGTGAATATCAAAATTGTATAACTAGTATCAAAATTGTATCACTAGAATGCACTTAATCCGTCATTGTACAAAGAATAATGTTAAAAAGAAATTGTAATTCAAACATTCCATGCGAATAATACTGTAATAGTCATAAATTATATCCGTCATTCCAATGGCTGTAGAGGAATTCAAATAACTAGTTTTGGCTCAAGTTGATAAAACTAAAGATGTAAAAGGTATAATTGCGTTAGATGTACCAGTTTCCATTTTCATTTATAGATATACTCTTTCAAACATAGCCTGCATTTTTAAACAATTGTTTTGTTTTAAATACTTTCGGGGATTCTCATTTTAGAATTTTAAGACTTTTTTTTTCTAATGTGAATGAATGAAATAAGTGTTGCTGTTTTTTTGCAGAGCAGAATGCATACTTTGTTGATTGAACGTAACAATTTGGAAAACAGACTTAAATTGAATAAAGCGTGTACAGATCAAAGTACGCCACAACATACCGCTTTAGATCCCGATAAAATACAGGACAAAGTTTGGATAGAAAGAAAGCACTCTATTCTCTTTTGCGGGTTACCAAAGGTAGGATCGACATTTTGGAAGAGAACATTAACAGTGTTAGCAAGTGGTACAAAGAAATCTCCGTTTCAGCTGACATTAGGAAGTGTGCAACTTGTACATTTCGTTGATTTTAAAAGTCAAATGAGTAGAAAGAATTTAGAGGGATATCTAAAAAGTGTTAGCTCTTTTCTATTTGTCCGGGATCCCTATAGTAGATTATTTTCAGGATATGAGCACAAGTTATACAATCCAAATTTAAGTTTTTGGAAGTCGTATGGAGTACCAATTGTGAAGACAATAAGAAAGAATCCATCAAAAGAGAGCCTGAAATTTGGTCATGATGTAACATTTGCTGAGTTTGTACAGTATATCTTGAAGCAAAATGATAATAATGAAAGAATAAATACTCACTTTAAACCAATGTATCAGAAATGTGACCCTTGCGGACTTCCATATGACTTCATTGGACATCTAGAAACATTTAAACAAGACGCTGAGTATCTTTTTGACAGATGGAGAAACCAGTTTTCAGACTTCAATATTCATTTTGGTGATTTTGAAAAGGAAACTGTATTAGATACTGCTAAAAGCCTTATTGGCCTATCATTTAGATCATATTCAGCCATTAAAAGTGATTTCAAATATCCATTTTATAACTTACTTCTAAGAGTATGGAGTGATCTCCAAATTCGAGGTTATTTATCTAAGGATATTCCTTTTCCATATAATCAGCACGATGTAGAAAGTTTAACCACCTCAAAGATGCTGAAAACTGTATCTGATGCTTTGGAGATTAAAGTAAATAAAACTGCTGTTAAACTGCAGAGGCAAGAGTCATTGCAACAAGCATACAGTACTGTGTCTCTTGAAGACATGGAAAGACTTCGTAAATATGTTCTTAAAGATTGTCAACTGTTTAGTTATGATGATAGACCGAAACTACTTTTTGATAGGAAAAATATGTTGAACAATGAACATATTTACATGGCAGGCATTTAAGCTATATCAAAAGCTTTGTCATATGTAATTTTCTGAAAAGAAAATTAATCCAACTGACGGTGCAATGTTTACTCACCCATAATGTTTATATTCGGATACTCGAACTTCATGTCGAGATAATTTTGGAAATATTTCCCTATTGTATAGATATTATACGAACAACAGTTTTTATTTAAACCGTTGTATTTATATTTGATATGCATCAGTGATTATTGATGTATTAATTCTTTTGTTTTGTCTTCCATTGACATGTGTATATTATACAATTGTTAATATAAGAGAGTGTATTATTTTTTTATATCTAATAAAGGGTTTTTAACGCAGAACATGTACCATTATCTGTTTCTATTTATTTTTGTGTACTAATCAACTTGCGTGGTACTGTATTAACCATCTTTCTGTTATCATTTTTATAGATGTTTTATGCATAAGGGTTCAAAGGGAGGTAACTGTTCCACTAAAAAAAGAAAAAGAGTCGACTAGAGTGACCTCCCCTGATAACATTGCAAAAGGCGTAAGGGTTGTAAGGGAGGTAACTGTTCCGCTCAAAAAGAGTCGACTAGAATAGCCTCCCCTGATAACATTGCAAATGGCGTAAAAGTTCCAAGGGAGGTAACTTTTCCACTAAAAAACAGTCGCCTAGAGTGACCGCCCCTGATGACATTACACATGGATTTAACTCAATACAGGATTGGAGCAGTACCTCTAGACGCTTGCAGAAATCATGATCACAAAATATACAATTATCGTTTTTTTCGCCGATTTTTATATTTTTTATTCATTATCGTACATAAATCGGTGTGAAAAGATGAATTATACCTATTAAAGTTCATTCCGTTGGGTTTAAAAAAGGCAAGATTTTAGCATTTTATGGTTCAAGCGCGTTGCCCGGTATATACCGGAATACGGTATTTAGTGTGGTGCTCCAATCCTTTTTTTAGTCTCACTCATTACACATGGCGTAAGGGTTCCAAGGGAGGTAACTGTTCCACTAAAAACAGTCTCCTAGAGTGACCTCCCCTGATTACAATGCAAATGGCTTAAGGGTTCTAAGAGAGGTAACTGTTCCACTAAAACACAGTCGACAAGAGTGACCTCCCCTGATAACATTGCAAATGGCGTAAGGGTTCATAGGGAGGTAACTGTTGCACACAAAAAAGAGTCAATTAGAGTGATCTCCCCTTATTAAGAGTAGGTTAGAATGACTTCCCCTGAAAACAATGCAAATGGCGTAAGGATTCAATGGGAGGTGACTGTAACGTTAAAAAAAGAGTTGATTAGAGTGCTTCCCTGATACCATTGCAAATGGCATAAGGGTTCAAAGGAGGTAACAGTTGCGCTCAAATAAGGAATTGATTAGACTGACCTCCCGTGATACCATTACAAATGGCGTAAGTATTCCAAAGGGAGGCTACTGTCGCGCTAAAAAAAGAATCGGTTCGATTGACCTCTTCTGATAACAATGTTAATGGTGTAAGGAATCCAAAGGGAGATCTTTTGCTATTTATAAGGGTTCAAAAAAACTTTGCAAAGAACATTGCATGGTTTGCATGTAAGAAGTTTTTAAAAACTTTTTATTCTGTATTTAGATTTTGAAGCTCCTTCTAAATAAGATTTAACTTCTCAACTCCTATTAATATTTTATTTCTCCTAATTAGGATTTTAAAATCAGGACCAAAACGCCTTTATAACGAGATTTTCGACCATGCGACCACATACATGCATCGAGGACATGTTTAAAAGAAAGTGACCGTGCGACCACATACACGCATCACAAGATTCCCCTTCTCTTACGAGAAAGGGACAAAGGGTTGTCCGCCCTTTTATATAAGGCAGACTTAAAAATATGCCATTGCCTTATGTTATTGATAAGGAGGCTAATATTCGCAGATATGTCGTGAATTGATTAATATACAACAATAGTAACGCAAACCAAGCGGGTTATCAGTTAACGTCTTTTTAAGTCCGCTATGAAATTTTAAAAAGATAATATATAACTTCTTGGAAAATCTTAAGTTTCAAGTTTTTTCTTCTATGTATATAACAGAATTACTGTATAACAGGATTATTTTAATTTTGCAAAACATGAACGTTTCAAAAACGTTTTATATGCATTAGATATTGGAGATATATTTCACACGTTGTTTTCAAATATTATCCTGGGGGCATTTTTGCCGAAGTACTGTCTCAGGCAACAGGACAACAATAACTTGAGCCTATGTTTACATGTTGATAAAATTGATGCGAAAACTAGATAAAGCAGACTGAAGCCTAATAAATGAAACACAAAGTAAAACGTCATATTTTCATGTGCCTTGATAGCGCAGTATGCAGAGCGCGTCCGTGTCTATGTTATTTCATGCATTTAGATGATCTTTCATAGTAAGGTACATTTGAGTGTTTTATGTATCTTTTTCTTATTTGACCAGTTTTGTTTCAAATACAAATGCATTAGATAGAATAATTTTGTACACAGGTTGATAATGTAGTTGTGTTAAGTTTGTGGAAAACGTCAAACATCAGGAAAAAGCATTATCAGAAATGTAAGAAATATAATGAAATGAAGTGTGTTATATATTGATCCATCTATTCAAATTATTATTATTTCGTAATCGTAGTGTGTTTAAAATTGTTTGATTTTTAAAATGTTAAAAATCACTAGAAATGTAGTTAGTTTCTTTACAAAGAGTGGGACAAAAATGAAATAAAAAAGAAACATAAAATAGAAGTAGAAATTTAAAAGAACCAAATACATGTATATTCAAATGATCATACAAAAGACAGACAAAATGAAAAAGGGAGAAAAACAACAACAACAACAACAACAACATCATCATCATCATAGTAACATGGCAGAGCGAAGTGTTCAAAATAATTCAAAGTTACTGTGACGTTGATTTACCAATTGAGCTTCTATACGACGGTACACATTTTTTTAGAATTAAACTACATGTATGTATAGCTGTTGACACTTTCAATCTCAAATAATATGCAGACTTACCCTATGGAACTTTCCAAAGTACCGTTAAGTTAAGACCAAATTATTATCACAGGACATTATGGACAATATACATTTAATTTCTATATTCGTTTTATTCTATTTGAGACAGAAAAGTAATGTGATAAGCTGCAAGAAAAAATAAATAGATAGAACTTGAGCAGCACGCTAAAAATATGTTACTGGTAAGACTACATACATGTATTTGCAAGTCTTATCATACCTGCTGAATTTGATCGTTACTAAAGTATGAAGTAGGCCAAAAAGTTGCGATCATGCAGTCATGCAGACCTTCATCCGTGAGACGTCATTTTATGATCTCCTCGAGAAAGTTCCCTATCAAAAGAGATACCTTAATTTCAGCTACATCTACCCTAAGTTCTTACCGTAATCTAACGCTGCATACGTAGAGACTTTTTTTCTTTCTTTTTTTTTAATTCGTTTTTTTTTCCTTCAGAAAATAGCTGTAGAGATCCTGTTGATAAATTAAAAGGATACAAGACTTTTAATCTATTTTAACGCAAGATCAGGCCTTTTGCCTAAATTGAATTACGCCCCTGCCCGGGCAAGTTTTAATTTAATAGGGAAAACAGGGAAGATAAATTCCATGGGGCATTTAAAATGCAAAACATATAAAAAGTTAATAAAACGCAATTAGATGCGTTTTTAAAGGATGCCCAGTGAAAATTTTTAAGTAATAGCTTTTCATTAAAGATTTAAATTGAAGCTGGAATTTAAAAAGTTTTAACAAATAAAAATGGTGCGATGGTACGAGGTGAAAAAAAAGGGTTGTACGAAAGGGGAAACCGATGTCATGGGACGGCACATTTTAAAGCACATGGGGACATGGTAAGCCCGATGGTTTTCTGGAAAAAAAAATTGTACGATGGTGAAAACGCGATGGTACGATGGTGAAAGCGCGATGACACGATGGTGAAAACGCGATGGCACAATGATGAAAACGCGATGGAACGATGATGAAAACACGATGTCGCGATGGTGCGATGGTACGATGGTGAAAACGCGATGATACGATGGTGAAATCGCGATGGTCTGATGTTGAAATCGCGATGTCGCATCGCGTTTTCACCATCGTGTCATCGCGCTTTCACCATCGTACTATCGCGTTTTCACCATCGTACCATCATGCCATCGCGTTTTCACCATCGTGCGATCGTGCATCGCGGGTACAGACTTAAACAAGTTAGATATTTATACGCCGGCAGTAGAATTTTTGTTAAAGTCAGTAATTGAAGTTACACAACTTGTAAAATATGTATACGGAAGGCCTATATCGAATGCAGGAAAAAAGGAATTCTAACTTCCTTTTATCTTGTATAGTTATGTGCTGTGGCGATCCTACATGAAAATTTTATGTACATGGGGTCACAAAAATTGCACTGTGTGTATATTATGAACAAAAGTTCGTAGAACACTTAACATCCCCCCTTCACACATTCTGTTAGTGACCTTTGACCTCCTGATCTTAAAAACAATAGGGGTCATCTGTGAATGATGATCAACTTCCCTACCAACTTTATTGATCATAGGACAAAACGTACTGAAGCTATCATTCAAAATGGTCTTACCATTTAAGGCCACTTGACCTTGACCTACTAATCTCAAAATAAATAGGGGAAATATACCAGTGATGATTAAATGATTGATTCTGAGCAATGAATAAGCATTTCGGGTCACTGTGACCTTGACCTTTGACGTAATGACCTTAAAATGAATGGGGGTCATCTGCCAGAGGTTATCAACCCCATATCAACTTCCATAACCCAGGACAAAAAGCGTACTCAAGTTATCCTTCGGAAATTGTTTAAGCATTTTCGGTCACTTTGACCTTGATTTTTGACCTACTGAACCCAAAATCAATAGGTGTCATGTGCCAATGATGGATAACCTTCATATAAACCTTCATGATCATAGGCCAAAGCGTTCTCGTTATTATCCCCAAAATGGTTTTACCATTTTGGGTAAGTGTGAGCCTGACTTTTGACCTACTGATCTCAAAATCAATAAGGGTCATTTGTCAATTATAACGAACCACCATTTGATAATCCTAGGCCAAAGCATACTCAAGTTATTGTACGGAAACGGCCAAAGCATACTCAAGTTATTGTCCTGAAATGGTTTAAGCATTTTGGGTCACTGTGTCCTTGACCTTTGAACTATTGACCCAAAATCATTAAGGGTCGTCTACCAATGATGACCAACCTCCGTATCAGCATTCATGATCCTGGGCCAGTGTTCTCAATTGACCATCAGAAAAAGGTTTAACCATTTCGGCTCATTGAGAGCTTGACCTTTGACCT